TATATTCTCATTTTGGATTTTGAAATCTCACTACCACCAATACCACAGTTTGAAAATAAAAGTTGAAATTTTTTATTTTGGATTTTGAAATCTCACTACCGCCAATACCACAGTTTGAAAATAAAAGTTAAAATTTTTTATTCTCATTTTGGATTTTCAAATCTCACTTTTTATTTTTTTCATGAATCTCACTACCTTAGAACTTGACAATATATACTTTTATTTTATAAAACTGGGGCATTTTATACCTACAGAAGCTTGAGAGCACCTGAATGCAGAGGTTTAAGAGAGAGGAATTTCTTCAAACCATCTTATTGCATATTGATTTTTGACGCCGAAGCGATGAAGATCAGACAGACAAGGTGGGAAGCTTCATGAACTCAGAGAACACTAGGATATCCTGGTTGGAAACGTCTTGGGAAGCCATTTGAAACTGATGAAACAAAAAAAAGTTAAATTGCAGATATTTCCTTTTAAGCAGAGACAGGTAGTTGACATGACGCGACAGTGAAAAAAGATTGTTTAAAAAAATAGTAGGGGACAGGGGTCCCCACAAGGCAAACACTGATCGAAAATTGATTAAATCAAATATTTTGAATTAAAAAATTATATGACTGTAAACAGTAATGATAAATACATATCCAGTTACGAGGCAGTTCAACTAGGTAAGTCCTTAAACAAGAAGTCTTGCAACGTATTTTGATTAAAACTTTGTTATTGATTAATATACATCTTTTGAAGATCAAAGTCTTGTCTTTTTATTATCATATTTAGTGGGACACACAGTCACAGCCGGTGCAAGGGATCAGGTGCACCCCCCTTTCTCCTTAAAGGGGGTTCCAATGACAAATTTGCACCCCTTACAAAAAAAGTTGATTGGCATATTCTTCAGAAATAATTGAGGCATTAAGAAATTTTCAAAAGTTTTAATTTTTCTATATTAAAGGGAGTGTTCCCGAAAAATGAAAGGGGGAGCTTTTGTGGGAAAATATTCTATGGTAATTGATACTATTCTTACTTCTATTTGTATACTTCTATCAGGGGCGTACTGGAGGTTTAGCATAGGGGGGTGGGGGTGGGGTGAACTTTTGGCGCACGTAAGTGAAGAGATTTTTTTGTCCACCAGCGGTTGTTGTTCACCCCCCCTAACAAACCGGTATTAAGAAAAAGTTCACTACGTCTCACTCGGTAATCCTGTGCCCCACCGGGCCATACTACAAAAAAACCTTTATGCACCCCCATTGGGAAACTCATGGGTACCCTGGACACACAGTGTAATCTCACCTGTTCTTGAATTTTGATGGTTTTGAGCTAAATTAAGTGAAAAAATACAATTTTGCCATCAAAGTTTTTCTTTTCTGTCTTTGAATTATTCAAACTGCTTTAAATCTAATTTAGCGTTTTTAAATATCAGCGCATCCAATCAAGAGATGACACAACTCATTGTTCAATGATTCAACCATAATAATGTCGTTCTGTTGTTAAGAATTTTTTTATAACTTTTTTTGTTAGCAACACTTTGCCTTGCCCATGATGCAGCATGATACACTATATTAGCTTGGGAACCCAGCTTTGCTAGCAAACTAATCTTTCTTTAATTTAGTCAAGTCAACCCACTTAATTTAGAACTTTTAAACCAAGCTAAGCACATTCCTGTGGGTCTGTAACATATATCCCCGAGTACTATATCAGGGAAACCTGATGCCTTATCTATATTCCTTCAAATAACTATTATCATATTATGCACACTTCGTAACCAAATAAAAGATTAACTTTATCGTTCATGAACCTTGTAAATATATATATATATATGTCCTAGTTGGGTGCCCATCACGCCGGTCACCCTATTTGACCTGTAACCTTATGTTTCAATAAATAGTTAGTTAAGTGTTAAACCTCGCGTTGAAGAGACCTTGCTTAAACCCTAGGTAGAGAAGACAGAAATACAGTGCGGTTTCTGTGGTTAATCTTGACTCGGGAAGACTGGCATTTTGTGACAGGTCTATTTAAACCTCGCGTTGAAGAGACCTTGCTTAAACCCTAGGTAGAGAAGACAGAAATACAGTGAGGTTTCTGTGGTTAATCTTGACTCGGGAAGACTGGCATTTTGTGACAGGTCTATCAAGTTCCCAAATCAAAATTTGAGGCAAATCAGTTGAAGGGTTCATGAGGTATGATGAGACATACAAATAAGAAGTGATTACTACTTTATATACAAAGATAAATGAAAGGCTAACAGTTCCAGATAGAAAAATTTAATTTAAATCTAGATTAAACTCTGAAGGAAAAAAGAAACTTACTTTACTGCGATAAGATTTAGCTCCAAAGGTTTAATGATCTTGTCTTTAACCTCTTGAAGAGAATGTGCAGCTCCAAGTAGCTCAGAGGTACTAACCTGGACATTATAAAGTTTACACATTTCACAGTTTTTTTACCAATTGATAATTTTTCATTAAAGATTAAAAGAAGATTGTAAATATTATTTTACCAGGGTAATGACTTTGAACTGCCAACCTCAGGTTCAAATTTGAATCAGCAATTCAAGTTTTTCCTTAATTTGTAACTTTAAATCAGTGGTTAAAATTTAAACCAACGGCATGACACGACAGCATTTACATTTTTTTCTAAATAGGAAATTTCCCAAAAACCTAGGCATTTGGGAAATTTCCCAGATACCCAGGCATTTCGGAAATTTCCCAGATACCCAGGCATTTGGGAAATTTCCCAGATATCCAGGCATTTGGGAAATTTCCCAGATACCCAGGCATTTGGGAAATTCCCCAAATTCCTGTAGGTATTTGAGGGTGGTATATTTTTCCCGGCCCCCACCCCCAACTGCACTGTTGGACAATAATCCTATTCCTGTGTTCCATGCAGGAGGGGATGCAGAGCCACCATACAAACTGTATAATGACCTCTGAAACCTCTTGAATGACCTACGAGCCCTATAAAACCATCTCCGTACTTCTTGCTAGCTAGGTCTCCAAGCCGTAGGAGTTCTGTCTCCACATCTAATATTCTGATGGAGATGGTTTTGCAGGATTTGAAGGTCATTCTGCGAATCAGGAGGCTACGGAGGTCATTTTGAAATGCTCTGCACCCTCTCTCTAGCCCCACATACCAACTCAAATCTAAAATCACTTAATCCGTATCATAAGGACAATTTTATTTTTAAAATTTTATTATTTTATGCAGGTCTTAATGAATGATTGTTGGCTGATTTCTAATAACATAAATCAATCATTCCTACTAATCAGCTTTCTTTAAGGATAATTCTAAAAAATGATTAACCTACCACTGTAAGATCAGCATGGTTTTTAAGATGAATTTCAAGAAACTGAATCCTTTGCTTTAACTGAAAACAAATTTATCAAATGGAGTATCTTCAGCTTAGTCAAACCAAACTCAAATAATAACTCAAAATTTTCACTGGTAACCATGATTTTATTCTGCTTTGAGCCCAGATTGGGTCCCCTGCTCTGTTTCATCGAAATAAACTTTGATTTTCATCCAAGCCCTATGATTTTCATCCCAATCCCAATGATTTTTATCAGAAACCCCTTGATTTTCATCTGAAACTCTCAAATTTTCATCAGATACCGGCAGGCCCGTAGCCAGGATTTGACCAGGGGGGGTGCAATAAGACGCGCCGCCGAAAATTTTTTTTTGAGTGTTTTTAATGATTTTTTAAACAATGTTTGGTTTGGTTTTACAGTGGTATATGGTTGTTTTTATTACATTGTCAATGCACTATATAAAGGCTAACCTTTTTAAGAAGTGTATTTGAGCTTTTAAGGGAGTACTGCTTAACTAACAGAGTCAAGTAATCATTTATTACTTTGACTTTGCAATATGAAAATGATATGATCTTATTTCTTATTCATTTTAAAAAAAGCATGGTCAAGGGGGTGCTATGGAAACGCCTCACCACGGAAATGCCTCAAAAAAAACAGACTCATAAAACATAGCACACCAGTCAAGGGGGGGGGGGCTAAAAGTCTGAAAGTGTACAGGAGATTACCATTTCATTTCCATGGGACTCTATGCATATAATTAATAAATCACACTGTTTTAATTAGACTTAAACAACTATTAAATGACTATGAGTAAATTTTGATGTTGTGTTATATTTAATCAACAGAGTGTACTGATCAACTGTTAGTTAGCCTGCAATAGGTCACNTGCTATTATTGTTCTTACTCGGGCTATATAATTTATAACTAGATTTTAGAAACTTATGAAAACAATTTCTTTTATATGGGACTATGGGGGGGGGGTGCAAATTCGTCATTGCACCCCTCTTTCAGAAGAAAGGGGGGTGCACCTGCACCCTTGCACCCCCCCCTGGCTACGGGCCTGAGATACCCTGAAATGTTTAATGACACCATCCATATTTCACTGCCAAACCCCATCTCAACAGAAACCCCGTAAGCTGGGGTCTCCAACAAACTGATTTAATAAGGGGGTCTCCTGAAATATCTTGGGGTCTTGGTCAGTAATCTAATTAAGATGATTTGAAAATGTTTCCTTTATCCTTACAACTTGAGACGCATAAATGTAACCAATGTTATACAAGAATTTTCTTCACTTTTAACTTAAAGTCTCCAAATTTGTCAACAATAGAAAATAAATCATGTCAGATATTGGTAAATATTGTTTCCTGGTGATAATCCTCAAGATCAGTCTCCACTTTCATCTTTAGTTCCATGTTCTCTTTTTCTTCTCTAATAATGTCCTCAATGTTTTCTTCAACCCCTCTTTCAATAAAAAGGAATTTATCAATGGCATTTTTCAATCAGGCATATATTACATTAAGTGGGATCAAACAGGTACGCTGGTTAATTTTAGGCCATTTGTCTCAAACAATTACTTTTGGCTTTTGTCATCCAGACAGAACAAACACTAGACTGAGAAAATATTGAAATATGAGGACGACATTTAAAACTGATTTTCTTTATTATTCCTGAGAATTTTTTTTTTAAATCTTTGAAAAAAGGAGACCGAGCCCATTTAGCATATATGGTCCACTTTTGAAGGTTGACACGGCATTTTAGAGAAAAATGTTTAATCCACGACCAGCCCTGTGACTGTAGGACCATCAAAGGGGCCAAGCACAACTGTTAGGACAGGCGTAAGGGTTGCTGGGACAGGCTAGAGGGGGGGGGGGGCTGTAGCCGTATGTCCAAATTTATCCGTGTTACAATTACATATAAGATGCATGTATAAAAACGCAAGTGTTGTTAGGAATGTGTCTTAAATTCTCAGATTTATTCCATTTTAAGTGTTTGTTTATATTTGAAGAAGCTTGCGCTTTGCCACGTAGCATTAGCCGTGTAGAACCAGAGTCCGATGCAGGTAAGAGATCGCTCCAGGTACAACACCTTTCTTCAATTTTAAAACATAGTTGCGCTTTTCCAGAATTGTAGCAGGCTTCTGGTGCATTGCGAACAAAACAGAATTTTGTAAATATAAACGTTATAAAGGGACAAAGCTATTTATTGCAAGGGGTACTAATGTATCTTATTTGTACAAATATTTATCCTCTTGGCTTCAATGGACTTACAGAATATTGTCTTCTAAATATAATCGAGCTGGTGTTTGATCAGTCTGGATGACATGATGTGTGGGGTTATTGGGATGTTTGAGGCCGGATAAAAATGCAGAGTCTAGGCATAGACTTTAGAGATGCTTAAAAGTGATGGGCCCACTGCCTTGGGGTAGTGAATTTTAAGGTGCAGAAATCTTCAGGGTTGCAGAAAGTATAACTTGGCTAAATGGAGAAAGTTGCAATTCACAAATCTCTATAATCTAACAAAGCTAGCCTCTAAATTTCAGTGCAAGAGGTTAAAAGGGTTTAGGATTATTATTTGGATCCAATTAAAAAATATTTGATGTTTAGTTATCGCAAAAATTCCAGTTTTAGCCCAAAACCCTTAAAAAACTTAAGAACAAGTAACGTCTTTCTGGAAAGAACAGTGATCACACCATAGAGATATGATCTTCAAGGAGAGCTTGAAAACTTGATCTACTACATATACACTGATCCACAGTCTACTAATTTATCTATTAAAATTGGGCTTAATATGTTCATTAGGGTTTCCATTATTCCAGAAGAAAATTTTAGAACTAATTGGGCTGAAATATTTTGTGGACAATCAGGGGTTGATGGGGGGG